CTTACCAGTGGATCACGTGGATAGATGATGTACTAAATTACTCAATCATCATCGACTATTTGTATTTTTCTTGTTTTTGTATCCGTGCAGGTTTACAGGTTTATATGGAGAAAAATAATGGAAACATTTAGACGCTATCAACCGTTAATAATAGTTTATAATGTATTACAAGCAAGTAAGCTGGGTAAGACTATAAACAACGTCCAACAGCAAGGCCTTTGATGAGGAGGTTTTGAGGAGCATGGAACCACCTCTTCATTGTTGGTGTTCCCAGGTCCAACCTGACCTGGGGCGGTAGCACATGTCAGGGTCTCAGCTATGGGCAAATAACTACCCCCTCCAAAAAAAACTGGGGTCAAAACACTATAAAAGTGTAAAAATAGTTTTTAATACCAGCAATACATTTTTTTAAAAATTATTACCAGCAATAAATTTTTAAAAAAAAATATTACCAGCAATACAATTTTGATGAAAAAATATATTAGCAGCAATACATTTTTTTGTAAAAAATATTACCAGAAATAAAAATCTTGTCGGCATTAAATAACACATTGAGGTTGATATACCGTAAAACAAAACAAAACAAAAACATTCAACAGAGAACAAAATTACTGCCCCCCCCCGGTTCAATAATTAATTGTGTAACCTTTATTTTTCATTATTGCTTTTAATCATTTTTGATAGTTCCTTACAAGATCACTACACACACTGATAGGTATTTTGACCCGTTCTTACTTGGCAATAGCTTTTACTTCCTCCAAATTCGAAGGACTTGTTCCTCTTACTTTTATTTTCAAATATGCCCATAAATTTTCAATGGGGTTTGGGTTAGGACTTTGTGTGGGTACGCCAATTTCTTAATTTTGCTGTCATCTAAGTATTTTGTAATAATTCGTGTCTTGTGTTTCGGGTCATTGTCAAGTTGGAACGGCCAGTGACGCCCCAAACACAGCTTTTGTGTACGTTTTTTTATGTTATTTTTAAGAATATCCAAATACAGCTCTTTATCCATGATACTCTGTACTCTTACTGGTTCTCCTGATACAGAGGCAGCAAAATATCCCCAGAGCAGAATGCTCCTACCACATTGCTTAATTTAGGGAGGGTTTTTTTTTTGGTTTGTGAGCTATATTCACTTTCCTCCATACATAGTCCATGTGTCCGAATAATTCTAGTTTGGTTTCATCTGACGATAGAACAGAGTTCCGGTATGTTCAAGATGGCTTCTAGCATAAGCTAATCTGTATTTTAGGTGTTTAACCTTAAATAAGGGAATTTTCCTTGGCGACTAGCTCGAAATCTTGATCGATGAAAGCATCTAGTGACTTTCTTCATCGATACATTCAACCCTGATGTCGTTGCATCATTGACAATGTCTTCCAAGAATTATTCAAAGATAAATACGGAATCAACTATTTATGTTAAATTTAGTAAGTACTTGCAAACATTCGCATTTCCTTAGAAAATATGCAAATTTTAAGTGGGGCGAATAATTCTGTCCACAATTATATATATATATATATAAATATATATATATATATATGGATTGAGCGCTTTACAATAAGTATCGCGCATATAATATATAAACAATATATGTAATATATATATATATATATATATATATATATATATATATATATATATATATATATATATAAAGAAAAGAACAGTAAGATATATAATCCTGTGTTCTTATAGATATTTTTATTTTTAGAAAAGTGCTCAATGTAAATTTGAGGATGAAATAGAACTAATGTCTTTAATTTAATTACAAAGTAAAATTGGAGGTTCTAGTTTCCATTTTGAAACATGGTTAGAACTGTGTGCTGAAAAAAACATATTTTAAATCAATTTATAATATTATATATATATATATATATATATATATATATATATATATACTGGCTGCATAGCGTCCGTCGTTGCCCGTGCTTGATTCAAAAACCGTACGACACATAAAGCAATCGCTATCACTGGATTTAAAATATTTTTGCCCTTCCTTGCCTTTTAAAGGAGTGCCCTTTGCCATGCTGATGTTGCTGTATGCCTTACTTCTTGCCTATCTCACACTGCGAATTCTATTTAAGCTCTATAGTAAACATTAAATCTGTTACGAAAAAAGAACTAAACAAAATCAACACAAAATGATCAGCTTTAAAAAAGAACTCGTAACTGGAAAAACCGAATGAAAAAAGAATGTTAACAACAAATACTTTTTCACATCCAACACAGTTCTGCGGAATCAGAATCAACGTTGAGTTTAAGCAAGCGAATGAGCCAATTGTAGTAAAGTGCCATGCAGATTTAAATTTTCCCCACTTGTGACGAATGCAGCCATCGATTTTTTTGCATGCTAGCATGCTAGTTAACATTCGTGTCAGTCAGTTGTAGGCTCTCACGCTAGCCAGTACAAAATGGCCGCAAACTACATGAAAACTGCCGTAGAAGCCTGAAAAAAATCTATTATTTCCACTATCGATGGGAGTTGAGAAATGCAAAG